TTGTGTCTCAGGACAAAAGAAATAATTTCTGATGCAACAGACCCTGTGAGAGAAGGGTTAAAAACCAGAGGAGTGTTCTGCTGTCTCTCTGCAATTCACGTTCTTTGCCCTGAACCGGTAATTTCCACTGATAGTTCTTCAGAAATAAACCCTTTTAGTTTTGTTGTCTGTGTAGTCCTAAGACACAGCAGTAGCTTGAGAGTGCATGATTAGTACTTTGAAGGAATCCTTCCATGTTGAAAAACAAGTTCTTTAGTTACCGTAATTACAACTGAATGGGAGGAATAACTGATAAGCTAACAAAGTATGACAGTGCCTAAAATAACCTTTTTGTAGTCCAGAATGTAGCATTCAAAGTGTGATACTACAAGACATTTCAGGGCTAAAACCGTGTTCTGTTCACAGGGCATTAATTGTATTAACAGTTCTTTTTAGTAGCAAGACCTTTAGGTTTCAACACTGCTACATTTTCAGGTCAAAGGAGGAGCACAGTCAAATTTGTCCCGTAAATTGTACATCTGGAGGAGAGGCAGAGAAGTGCTTCTTTAGCGGGTGACTTTATTTTAAAATATCTGTGATTTGAAGATGCTCACAGGCTTTCTTTTGAGATTTTTAGACAAGCCCAAAAGTAGTAAGCAGTGGAAGGCCTAATGATTATGATACGTGTGTGTTAAATACAGTTTGTCACATATATCTTTTACATAGACTTTATCACCAAGTGTGTTGTGCTTTTGCATTTAAGTGTATATTATGTTAAGAAAGTGTGTACATACGCGTGTTGCTTAGGGATTCTCGTGGATGAAAGTTGCTTATATAAGTGTAAATCACTGTTTTCGTGGCTGATTTGTTAGCAGTAAATCCTTCCATTATTTCCTGGCTATCCAGACCTTATGACACACTATGTCCTGTGCTGTCGTATGTGTGAGAAGGCTTTTTACGGGGAGCAATCAGGCTGGACCCCAATCTCCAGTGTAGTTTTTTTCTAATTAAATTGTCACTGGAAGGAATATCCGGAACAGCAGTTTTCATTTTCAGTCGAGGAAAAAACATTATGAGTCTTTGTCATTTGATTAAAAGTTACTTAACCTTTAAAATTGCTACAGATGTAAAGATAGCTCTGAGTTTCCAATGTAATCGCCTCCAAGTTAAAATCGGGAAAATCTTTGTGTAATGAAACCCATATGTCATAGTGAAAGGATGCAAAGCACTGGCAGAGTGGGCTGCTCTAGCAGGAGATTCTGTACCCAATCTTGTTAACCAGGACTGCTTTTGGTAATCCCTCATCTCCTCACTTGTAGGAAATCAATCTGTACTACTGAATCTTTTCAACCAGCAACCACAAAATTTACTGTGGAGAGGCAGCTTGGGGACAATTGTAGTAAAAAAGGAGCCCCAGGCAACAAGGCTAAATGCGGGATTGAGGGATTGAAGTTCTAAAAAGGAGATTATATTAAACCTTATTCTGCTCCCCTATCAAGTAGAAATCTCCCCTTCTCCTTTCAGCCCCAGCCCTTCCTACCCAATACCTGTTCTTGCTTGGCAGATCTTTCCAGGCAGCAAACTTAATTCGTACAGTACAGCATTCTCTGTTAATTACAATAGCCTGATGCCATTTTTCAATACATTTCTCTGAACGAGTCTATTCAAGCACTCAACTTCCATTGTAACCGGTGCTGATAACATCTTAAAGTGTTTTCTCTGTGGTCTTCAGTATCCTCTTCCTCCTCCCTCGTAGGGGAGATTAATTTGTATCCAAGCTATTGCGATCGTATCCATTGTTGATTTTTCTATTGTAGTAGATGCACCGCGTAAGCAAGGTTGTAAATTGTGACTTGATGTGGAGATTCATGTTTCTGTTTCATGCTGCACAGCCTCTGTAGTGTCTGTTTGCTGGTAGAATGAAACCTGCACTCAAGCCCTCTCTTCACTTGAAGTCTGTGGTTTAAGCTGACATTTTAAAGAAAAAAATCCCTAAGGTTTTCACTACAGTTTTGTCCAACCTTTTAATTAAAAAATCCACCTCCATCTACTACGCAACTGGCTTCTGCTGGTCCCTGGGGTGGTTGCTTAAGGCAGGTTTTACCGTCTCTCTTAGACTGCAATCATGTTTAGAATGTGGGTGATGGTTTCTTCATTCACAGGCTCTTCCCTCACTCCAGCAAGCTCCAAAAGGCCCCCTTGGAAATGATATTCCCATTATTAAGAATTCATTTATCAGAAGCAATACTGAGCAGAGGAGTCAGTTTAATTAGAGGCTTTTCTGTGCAAAACCCAAGCTCAAATCATACTCCAGTGCAGATTAAAGAGGAACAAAGAGGAAGGAATAGCCAAGACATTTGAACGCAGTACCATGTAATATGTATTTGGCCTGTGTTTACCAGGAATACATTGAACTGTGGTTGGTTTGGGGCAGAGAAGCAGCTGAAGCAGGGAAAACAAGATTCTTAATGTTTGTGGAAACTTGCCCTTAGTTTGGCTGTGATTTTTTTTTTGTGATACGAGGATGTTATTTCCTGACCATTTTCATACATATACAAGGATGTAAGGTCCTTTCTTTTCAGTTTGGCATCATATCTTTAAAATTAAAGCCCCGATACAAGCCTGAGTATGTGAGGAGAAGAGGAATACAGAATAGCAGAAGGCTGTCTCCTGCTCCTAATGGGATTTTGTAGCAGCATGTGCGAGTTTGTTTCAGAAGTCAGAAATGAACAGATGTTGGTATAAATTACCTCTGTGTCTGATGTCTTGCAAATTAAAAGCGCGGCTGGCATCACTAAACAATTTCACCAGGTTGGGGGGGGAAGCGGGCGGTGATTATTGTAGCAGGTCGGTAAGAATCTTTAAGCTGCAGCAGAACAGGATAGCAAGGATAAAGGAATGAAGAATAAAATGAGAGGTCTGTGAATTAATCAGAAATGTTAACATCTCCGATGACAAGTGAACAGGAGGGCACGTGCTCTGGAGCAACCCCCAACCCACAGTAATTTCACTCAGCGCACAGAAGGAGTCTATGCTCTCTGCCTGATTTATAGGGTGCAGCCCTCTTCGGGGGAACAGAATTGTCATGCATTCGTATATCTCCTATATGGGACTCGCACTCCAAGAAAACTTTCCACTCTGTCAGCTACAGTTCGGCTTTGTGCTTTCTCCATTAAGAGTGTTTTAAAACCATGCACTGTTGATGGTACGAGGCAGGGAGGTGTCAAAGAACTGGTGCTGAAAATCTATTCCTAGATGAAATTTTTAAAAACCTGCATTTTTCTTTAATCATGTTCTCTGTGCATAACAACTTAGTTCCTGACAAAATAACAATCCACGCTGCCCTTCTGCAGCGCCTTCTATCCGTGTGTCGCTTCAGCAGCACTTAAAAGATACAAGAAGCTATCTTGCGGATGGGGAAGTAGAGGTACAAATGAGTACTTTTGTGGTAGTTCACGCTGTGAATCAGAAGCAGAGTTGGGAATGGATCCCAGATGATCTAACTCACAGCTGGAGGCACGACCCAAGCAAATAATGCAGTGATCTGCTTGAATCTGCAGCCAGTCTGAAGTGCGTTCCACTCGCAGCAGCAGACTTTGCAGCCTGTGTATATCAGTACGTACCAGAGAGTTCATAGTACCACTAACTGTTTTACAGGGATCTTGTTGGTGACAAGACCTTGTGGTACAATTTTGGGTAGACAGATTAGAATGTAACAATTTAAAGAAGAGGCTTTAAGGCACAAATTCTAACCTTTAGATAAAGAATAACAAAATGTCTTTACCTGAGGGTACGTATCGAGTATTTTAAGATTAACGTTTTTATTATATTTTAGTTCTGTTCTAAGAGATAATCAGTGATGTCAAAAGAAAACCCCACATCAACAACAAACCCACCTCCAGTTTTTATGCTAATTGTCATTTCTGTTGTTCTTCTCAGGAGAGAGGTCAGGAATTGAATGATAAAACAGAAAATGAATTCCCATCTCCTTCCACAGTCTGTCTAGGCTAGGTGTGGGAAACTTGCATGCTTTCATCAATCCTGTGAATAAAAACCTCCATGTTTTGATGCCTATCAGTCCAGCACAAAGCTTACACCTTCATTTAAAAGAAATGAAGGGAAGCACCGGTGGGAAGATTGTATTTCTCCAGGACTCCATTGCTAATTGTGTTGTCTTTGATGCATTGTATTGTTATTGCAAGACAAAGATAGTATTAGGGCTGCTCTGCCAGCTTGTGAGCTTATGGGCTCACAAGTCAGAAATGTCATGTGCAGAAAAGTGGCTGTGTAAAGCCTGCTGTAATACAGCTACCAGAGATTGATGGTGCCAAGAGTGAGAGAGAGAGACATATAAACCTTGCCTTGCTGTATTAAACATCGAAGGACTGACAATGCAGAGAGAGAGAGAAGACCAAAGCTCTATAAACTTTACTTTATTACACCATCCATAGATGAACTACCTTGAAGGAATATAAACCCCATTATATTACAGCATCCAGGGACTGACATTGCTGAGAGAGAGAAAATGCTGTCTAATTTTCTGTTGAAGATCATAGCATCCAGGGACCAATAATCCTGAAATGGAGAAAGAGAGAGCTCCATAATCTGTGACGGATTATAACATCCAGGAACAATTGCTCTGAGACAGAGTGATGGAGGTCTGGATTACACCGTTCAGAGATGGATAGCACAGAGAAAAGGAGATGCTGCGAGAACATAATGCAGTAGGAATAGGAAGCATAGACTGTATGTAATGAGACAGCCTGTGGGAATTATTGCTGAGTTTAGAAGATTCCAGGCCCTGCCTGCATTTCTAGGAGGTCAGGAATTCAAGCTGGAATGCAGTTTTATTTATTTTCCACTTAAAAAAAAGTTAAAAAACTAATCCTTACTATTGATATAAGCACAAATCTAAATGAATTTCTTATCCTATGGTTAAAATCTGTAAACTATGCAATTGTTTGGGTTTCTTGGCTTTTTAAAAAATATTAATTGCTTTTTTTCCTCCATTGTGATTTCAGCTAGAGAAATGACTCGAGGGAAATTCCTGAACATCCTAGAGAAACCCAAAAAGTAGCTGACACATCTGGAGTTTGGACAAAAATACCCCAACTAGATCATCTTACATACTGTGGATCCAGATGAACCCCAGAACTTCTAAGAAGTACAAAGCTCTTGCTCTAGACCCTCAGAAGCAAACATCTCTCACTGCTTCCACAGCTCATCTCTTCACGGGGGAGATGTGTATTGCAGATACAGGTCACAAGGACTGCAATTGGTTGTGTTGGAATTCGGACTTCATCTGACCGTAAGATGTCCAACAAGAGGACTTGGCCCTGGCGTGCTGTGGCAAAGTTACCTGTTTTAATCAGCTATTCCAAGTGAACATCCATAGTGTCCTTATTCAAATGCTCTCAGCGGCAGCACCTATTTCAAGTACATGGCAGATCTGACACTGGCCAGTGCACATCATGAGGCATTGACCTTTTTGTATGTCTTTTGTCTTAGATGCATTGATTTCCTATGTGCAACTTCTGTGCTGAAA